ACGCGCGCGAATTTAATTGATCGATCGATGCACGACCGGGTCGCGTAGCTTTAAGTACTTACTTTCTAAGCCACTCCATTGGCGTCGAGTCGGATGCGATGTTAAACTTTCGACGTTGTTTTCTGTTATTTGTTAAGTACCTAAGTTTAGAATAGCGGAGGATGAATGCTGGGGTCGCTTATAATGTAACGTTACAGAGAATTTCTTGAGGATATATTTTAATAAATGTTTACGTCTTCGACTGTCTTGAGACGCGATTTACGATATATTTTAAGAATTTCGTATTGTAATTGTAAAATGAAGAACTGAGAAGAACGATATACCGAAGCTATTAGAATCTGTCTGATGTATGTTCTTGGAGCGCCGAATGCGACATGCGTTGTTTGGACGAATTTTGGAATAACTCGAACTACGAGGGAACTTCGTTATTTATAGTCTTATTATTCGATCTCGTTTGTAATCTCGAAACGTACGGGAGGAAATGCTTGCGAGTCCAAGGGCATTCGAGTCCGAGGATTGTAATTTTGTCGTACTCGTCTCGAATTTAAGGTCTCACGGATGTTACGTGCAAAATCATTGTCCTTATTGTTATTCGATGATTGTACCGGTAATTAATGTTCAACGAGTTTGAAATTCTTTGAAAACCAGCACTGTCCGGGATCGGTTCAAGTGGTATGGCGGACATACGGCTACAAGTGATGGGTTTCAGCCTTCCAAGGTTTCACGATACACATTGCAAAGTAGCACAAAGTGAAAAAAAAAGCTTAAACCTATTACTTGTACCGATCGCAGCATGTTTCGACGCGCGCAGGGGTTTTTAAACCGAAGTCTCAGGATTAGGGTAGGCCTGGATTGTGAATCTCGACGGGATCCCGGAAACCATATGGCCGACCGAGAGGACTGCCCTTTTCAGAACATCTGCCCACGATTCTTCGTTTACAATCTCTACCGCGCGCGAGCGACAGTAAAAACAAGACACTTCGCTAAACACCCGACAACCTGGCAAATAAATCAAACGCGAAAGACTTATGCCCCTGCACAAAGTCAATTTGGCGCAAACCCAATTATCGTTTTTCTGAATTGTACCTTTACAATAAATATTACGTTATTTTCGTTTCTCGAGATTCAATCTTTATCCGCCGAGATCTAATTACTGAAAACATTCATTCGTCAATCGACGTTTACTAGAACCTTCCTTCTATTAAACAGAGTATCTACCATTTACCCTTCAAATTCCAAATACCTTCGAATACCCTATAGAATTGGAACTTAACTCTTTCCAGCAGAATTTAGAATATTCCCTGCAAGGCAGTTCTGCCATTGTTATTTAGCCAATGAAGTATCACGCTATTCATCTTATTCTATGTATTATCTTATTCGTTAGACAATAGATCGCGATCAACGATGTGTTCAGGAAACTAATTTCGACTGGTACGACCGCAATGCAGAAAACACGACCGCGAAGAGTTAACAGTAACCCGATAATGAACGATGATTCGCGGGACAAAGTGAATTTCCAACGAGTAACGGAGAAAGAGGGTAACGAGATGAAAATCAGAAAGAGGGATTGCGGTCGAGAAGAGGGGGAAGAGGGCGTGTGCACGTGGTCCCGCATCTGCTCCACCACCGAGTGACCCCGCGGCTGACCCGTTCCAAGTACCAATAATTAACTCTTGCTCGTGCGCGCCGAATGCACACGATCGTTCGTTCGTTCGTTCGTTCGTTCGTTCGCTTGTGCGCGCGCGCTCGCTCGCGGGGCCAAACGCTTGCGTCATACGACGGGCCAGTGTTCCCATGAAAGAAAGGCCTGGCGCGCATACTTGTGCAGTTAAGCGCGACAAGAGGCCGCGCTCTGGACGGACAAAAGGTGGCCCCCGATGATTCGTACGCTACGTGTCCCGAGATCGATCACGATTACGTGTACGAAACCCCGTCCGCGACAGTCCACCTGGTACTCGACTGGCTGTGTACAATTTGTAGCTCAAGAATTGAATCTTCTTTGCTAACAATATATTTAGCACAAACGGAATTCTGGGTGCCTCAGTATATAGAAAACACGTAAAAATGTCACTTTTCTAAGAAAAATCAGATACGACGACATTCCACCCGAGAAGTTACTACAGAAATGTTGCACCAAGCTGCTTCAATTATAGTTTAATACTCCAATCATGTTCATATTTTAATCAGGTTCAAGAGCGTTTGAGAAGCACCGAATTTCTACTTTCATGTGACATACTCATATTATAAATAATTCTAGTAAATATTGTTGCAACAAGTAGAGACTGGAATAAGATTGAACGGTCTGCCCGGACGAAGTACCAGAGAGTGAATCCTTCGAGGATTTTTAAGATATTCGAAACCTTCAACAGAGGCAGCAAATTATACCTTGAACTCCTGCACGCTAACGAAGGAGGGAGCTACGTATCAATCACTCGTTATTTGAATGAAATTATACGTTGCTAACTTTGTATCTCAGATACGCGAGTTCGGTTCTCCAAAATGCCGACATTCATGTTCAAAAGGTAAACGGACGATAATGATGGTAACATCGAATCGAAGGGAATACGTCTATCGAGGAGTCTCAAGTGTTTCCGAGCGTTGTACGCCGTGTTGTCTCGCTTAGATATTCAGCCGAGGTATCCGCGGCGAGCGAAGGGGGTGTCAAGCGTTCGCATGCCTCGCGAAACAAAACGCTTGCGGAAAAGGAGCGGCACCTCTGTCCCCGTCCCCGTCGCTTGATAGTCCCGGCACGCGAGTCACGGGTCGCGCAACAAGAATTTTCAACGAAGTCGCGGACCCGCGGCCGCAATTAACCCTTTGCGGTTTTCTGCGTCGGGACAGGCTCGACGTTCGAACCAATCCCAACGGTTACACGTACGCCGCTGATCTCCACCATGGTCAGCGTCTCATCGTTCGTCAGAAATGAATATTCGTGGCCAGTTCACGTTGGCCTCGAATTATATTGGTTATTTCAATCATTCTACGAAGCGAATTTCATCGTTCGTGGAAATAACAGATTCAACGATGTCGTTCTCGATCGTCGGTGTTTTATTTTTGATTCCTTTTATCGTCGTCCTGCGGAGTTTTATGCATTCGTACGCTGAAAATACGAGCACACGGAACGCGGTCAACTATAAAGTACGGCTAAATTTAATAGCGGCTTCGCTTCGGCATTAACGAAGTGTAATTATTATCGGAGTTGTTAATAGAGAAAGTAAACATTTATTCAACTCGTTCGCGAGCTGCATTAAGTTTTTCGTTTCAATGGATAACTGTAATGAATACAGTCCACGGCAGACGGAGTTCCTCGTTAACCATAGCCAGGAGGAGATTCGTTAGAAGTACCGGCGAAACGCAAACGAAACGATTCAGGAGAATATGACTCACCGGTCTTGTTGCTGTTGCTGCCGAAAGAATGCAGTTTTTTCCAACCTTTCCAACCCTTTTTCCAGATCATGGCGGCCTTCGTTTTACGCTGACCGCCGGCTAATTCAGGCGTGCTGGTTTTGCCCATTCCTCGCCTCAAGGATCCCAGTCCCGACCTAAGCAAATAGCAATCGGTTACTTCATCTCTTTCTCTCTCTCTCCCCCTCTCTCTCCCTCTTATTCTCCCGCTCCCTACGGCCAGGTTTACGGTCGTACAATTGGTACGCTGAATCGATAAACACAACGGTACAGGAACGATCCAATAATTTCTTGCCGCTCGCCGCGTAACAGAGGCTGTTACAGCCGGCAAGGATCATTTGAACAGTAAATTAAAATCAGTTATTAACCGTTTGATTGCTGAACAGTTCGCCCCCGATGTATGCTAAAAATGCGGAACGTTTTCAAGCGACGATAATCGAAGCACTTGTAAAAATCATAATATCTTTAATTACTTAATTGATTGCTACAAATGTAGATATTCTTATTTCCTAGCGCCAGTTGTACTTTGCAACACTTGAACGGCTAAAAATTATAGACAGAGATGTGTTACGCCAGTCACCTTAGAAAAAGGATTAGAGAGAAGCTTCGCTGGCCTAGCGAAAAGTTTCCGATCGAAATTTGCGAGAAGCACCATGTAAGAGCTGGAAATATACTATTATATATTATTATATATTTTACGTATACGTAAATTATACATATATATATATCAGTAATTACTTATTAACGGCAATATATTATTATTTCACTATACATTAATATTGCCTTAATTTACATAAGACGCATCCTTATAATTTCGCATCGAGGACGAATTTTCTCAATTCAATCGGCGAAACGATCGGATACTTTTCGCAGGTGATTGGAAGCCGAAGGTATACTGTGTGTATTATTTGTTTCTGAACCTGTAACTTGCACTGGAGCTTCCGCTGAAGCCACTGTCCATGTCACAGCCGACAGGCGAAAGGAGGTCGTCGGTGGGACTGACCGAAGATAACAGCTCCTCGGTGGACGCTTCCCGTTGATCCTGCGGCTCGTCCTCGTTGTTGTTATCGGCCACGGTCGGCATCAGCATCGCCTCCACGCTCAGGTTCAATTCCCCGAGCACACGACGGTGCCGCGACTGGACACGACGAACCTCCTCCGCCACCAGGGACCTCCTCGATCCGTGCAGCGCTCGGTGACATTGTCTGCTAATGAATCGAAACGATTAACACATTCATTGCCGATGTAACCGATCGGTTCGACGCTGGCCAGGAAACCCAATGGCTCAGTATATGTAAATGTTGCCAATCGATCCCGTTCTGAATTACTATTTCAATTACAGTAGAGCTGTCGACCATCCGAACCAACCGGGATCAGGGTAGTCCGGAAAATCGAATTGCCTTGACGACCAAACAGTCCAGATAATTAAACTAAATTCGTATTCGTTATACGTCTATTTAATTTATATATTTACAAAATACATTCCTCCGATTCTTCAGCGGCAATAAAAAGGGCTATCGAGAAAGATAATCAAAAACTCGTGCTCGATTATGCTAAACGCTCGTTTAAATGGCCCGACGATCTAAGGAGGGTTACGCTCGCTATTCACGGCCGCCATTGACACGGGAGAGAGCAACAAGACGGCAACGGGCCTCTCGGTCGGTCGGCAGCAAAAGCGTCGCATAATAATTTACCCGTGAATCGGAGTCAATTTGAATGGGTATTTATCTTGTCCCGATGAATGACTTAGGTTGCCCAGACCTGCGAGTGCGCCGCCGCGGCGGACAATCCGCGGCCGTTGTTTTCTTATTGTCCGCGGCTTAATCACCGTCGCCGGGCATCCGGTGGCCGGCGTCGCGAATCGGGCCAAGCGGCCGGGTAGTACACTCCGGCGCTCGTTGCGTCCACTTAAAGCGCAACCACGTTCGGACGACCGAGTCGGTGAAGTTCACTTCGCGCACAGTGAACGGCCCGCCGCGTATTCATCAACCGTTTAGGCCGAATGATACCGTAATTCCGCGGGCTAGCTGATTGTGAAGCATACATACTACACGCGTTCAAACATGTCGCGGGGTATGCAGAGAGGTATGCAGGTAGCATGATGCATGTTGCAAATGCAGTTTGACATTCATGAATTGACATTAGGAGTTGTTGCTGTAATGGAGAATTGAGATGAGGCGATACCGTGGAAGCGAAATGTTGATGCAGCTTTCGTGAATCCTAGCAGTCGAATCCTAGGCGTCCTAGAAACCCGCTACGTGTTCCAACGTGTGTGGGGGTCTTAATTCTTTGGACTCGATCTTCTTATCAGAAATATTCTATAGAAATATTTACTGGACACGTTTCGTGATGAGATATAGATGAAGTTTAATACTAAATATTATAATCTTGCCGCGTCGAATCGAGCGGTGACTGAGAATCACTTTTCCAGTGCGAAGGGTTAAATAATAAAGGGAAATATTCATCTTCCAATAAATTATAGACGACATTCTTCGAAACATGCGTTAAGAAATAAAATTATTTCAATATTTCCCATATTTATAGATTACGCGGGGCTTAATATTTTGTGGAACTTTAGAAGTTTGGTCCATCGAATCAAATCTCTTTTGAGTGCGAAGAGTTAAGGATCCCGTCGATTTGATATTAAATATCGTAGACATTGCTTGCTGAATGTTTGTGTCAGTTTTTGGTGCAGTTATAGGAGAACGTATTCTAATCCTTTTTGAAAGCTCTAGTTTTTAAGATCTAGATGAGCGAACGTCTATTTCCAGGAACGATATGATAAAATGTACAATAAATGTCCATGAGCTCAGTGTTAAGACGATGATCATGATAATTTATATTTCCACCGAACAATTTCCATCTGTTCCTTACTTTATCTCCGAGATCTCCTCGTAGATGTTCTCCTCCGTCCCGTATCGGGTCATGTACGTGTGCCTCTTGAACGGTTCCGGGCGCAGCGGTTGCTGTTGTTGCGGCTGGACACAGCCCAGGCCAACTTCCGCCGGATATGTACCGTGCAATCGGCTCGGACCCGGGTTGTAGTAAGCGTACGAATAATCCTGCAGGGGATGCTGGTGAGACGAGCTCGCCATGGCCGACGCGACCGATGCAGGGTCCAGCCCCGCGCATGGCATCTACCAAACACAAGAGGCATACATATTAATTCAATTTCTACGGACATTATTAAAATTAAGCACTCTCGTTGTTTGAATAATTAAATTATACATTTGCAGTTCTCGGTTTCAGATATGAAACCTCGAAGTCCCCATTACGGGCGAATGTCGACACTGCCGAGGTCAAATTTTCATGTTTGTAATACAAGGTTTCAAAGAAATTATTTAATTACTGAAACAGCAAAAGATCAGTAAATTGTTTCTTTTTTCTCTATTGTTTAAGCATTCGATGCGTAATTCGGCAGGATCTACCTTGAGTTTCGTATCTTTTAAATAATCTTCTTCCGCAAAGGGTTAATAGAATCTCTAGATACATTTCAATGCAACTAACGAACAAATGACTAAAACTAAAAATAAAGAATTGATCAAGCAGGAGTAAGGTGAAGTTTATGCAGTTTATACCTGACTGTGAGGTGGTGGATAAGGCGGAGGGGGTGGAAACTCCAGGTTGACTCTTCGCGGTGTCGGAACACCTGACGCCATTCCTGGTCCTCCTAAAGACGAGGCCATGATGCATCGTTCTGCTATCCAACGATGCGCTTCTTTCTCATTGTTTCTCCAATCCTCTGCGAAAAGGATAAGAAAAATGTTTACGGTAAACGACCAGTGCCGTGAGAAGTTCCTATTAATTGCGTATTTTCTTAATGTTATAACTATCTCGCATGTGAAGTCCAATTTCAGTGTCCACCAAATATTTTTAAATAAATTATTCGAGAGCCACGTTAAAACTCCATTAAGTTACTGCTTCGAAATAGAGAACCAAGATCATTTCGAATCGCAACCGGTTAACATGCGTGCAAACCTCTTACTTCAAAGAGCTGACATTTTCTCACGATTAAATGGATATGTTTATTTGTGTCGGTGTTAGACGGTAGCTGGGGCAAGGCAACAATATACAGAGCTAATGATCCCGTAATTCCAGGGAAAAGCGTTACGATCGAGGTCGAATACGATCTTCCTTTCAAAAGAATCTCACCGACGCGTATAGCCGGGCGTGTAGCGCGGCTTTGATCTCCGGCGAAGCGGTCAACGCGATTTTTAACGGGAAAGGTATCATTAGAACGCCTCGCGACCGAACGGTCTGTCCCCGCAGAACAATTTATCACTTACCGCAAATAAAAGAGTCGGGACTCAGTGCTGCGACGAGGAATCTTCGACGAGAGACCAGAAGACCGACGACAATTTCGATAAACCGTTACAGAGCATCAAAACCAATTCGAAGAATAGGGGCTCCGAATAGAAGGGAACAGATCGAAAAGCGTAAAAACGTCGAGAAGAGTATTTCTATCTTAAAAAAGTGATTCTATCTTCATCGCGTAATCGACTATTTGTTACTTGAATTGTTTACTTGTCAATATTTACTCAAACACTTCACTCGAACACGAGTACCACGTGTTCGTGAACCATCAACTGGAAATTTGTAATGGACTTCCGTGGAAAGCAGCATCTCACGTTTACTTTCTATATTAACCTTGATTATAGGTTGACAAACCAGTTGCACATTATGAGTTTACCGGTTAACGCGAACAAGACGACAGTAATGGTAGACTGTTTTACAAGAAAATGAAATCAAAGGATTCACGGTGTTTGCAGAAGCTGCGAGCAACACGAATGTTGTCTTTGACCGACGGGTTCGTGTAAATTTTAATAGACCGTCGTCTGTAATTAAGGATTTCGGATCGCAGCTTTGATCACTTGCAAATCTTCTAGACGACTGGGAATGATAATTAGAAAATAGTAAATAGAACAAGAAAAAGAGCAGACGAAAAGGGAAATGACATGGAAAAATGAAAGGAAAGGGGCGGCGCGTCGACGCGCAAGAACGTCAATGGCGATCGCGTCGAAAGCGGAAGTTTTTCACGGACGAGGGCGAAATTAAAGAGGAAAACGGCGAAGTCCACGCGAACGTGAGATAGGATCATTGTGTTCCAGGTCGCCGTGGGGAAAAAACATCGCAGGTGTGGGACGCGATTGAGATTCAAAGCGCGGCGTATAATTCGCGAACACCGTATACGCTCAGCGACGTGTAATAATCCACGGGCCGGGTATGAGATCCGGCTAACAAGATAAACGTCGTGTTGTTCGCGTTTATGTCTCTTCTCTTCGCGTGTCGCGCCGATAACAATGGAAATTAGCTGCCGTTCATCGACAGAAACTGCGATAACCCGCATTCCTTCGTTCGCTAAACGAATCCGAATGTCCACTTGGATGATCGATGGTACGGCTCGATCCACGCTTAAATTCCCCACGAAAATCCGTTAGCCAATTAACATCTACCATAAAAATAATAACAATAAAAGTATGAAACGAATATAACTCGATAAGCAAATACCAAACATTACATTCTATAGTTTTTAATTTACTCTTTCGAAGTTGAATTCCTCGAAGGGTTATAGGCAAATGTTTTCTAGATTGGAGAAAAATTCAAATAAATAGGTAATTACTATTAACCATTAGACGACTCGGAAAGAGATGTGTCAACTCGTGAACCCCTGAGAAGTCACATGCACGTGACACAGGACGCCAAAGAGTAACCCACTTTTAGTGGCCGAGGAAAAAATCGAGCCAGACCGACGCACCAATAAACGAAACGGGGTCGTCGGCGACGATATTGACCCCGGGTCACGTAAAAACCACACGGGAACCGTAACGAGGCTGCATCCACGGAAACGAGACTCAAGTTCGTCCCGTGTAGGAGGCATGGGAATGCGCAGTCGGCAGAGACAAGCCGGACCGGGCCTCACATGATAAACGACCGGTGTCTATCTTCACCTGCCCACGTAACGTTAATGCAGTCAATTACTGGCTAAAGTGATTCGGCCGTAGTCATAATTCTTTTCCGATCGAGCACGCCGATCGAAATTACCGGCATCGAGCGGCGATTACGCGCGCGCGCGCGCGCGCACTGCAAGAGGAACACGGGATGCAAGCTCGATCTCCGAGCCTGAAACGATTTCTAGCAAGAATAGTGTTCTTAGCTCATTAAATAGGAAAAATGAGAAATCGTCGAGTAACTGATATAAAATTACTGAATTTAGTTACTGAGTAAAGTCGTGCAACTGATACGAATGGCTTTTGAATAGAGAAAATTAGAAATCTGCGACTAATGTGAAGGTTTCAAATTTACCAACGGGTGAAGATGTTACACTGATTTTTATATTAACTCCTTGCCTTATAATATCGTGTCAGACTCGTGAAGATTCCAAATACAGTCTAACGTAATACAAATGTTAATCAGTTCTTTTGAATTCTAATTAAATATTATTCCTGTGTTATTGATTACTATACCTTAGAACAAACACAGGCATAGAATATACCTACAAGTTTTCTCTTTTTCCAATAAACATTCAATGGTGATGTGGTTGTATCACAGTTGAGGAAGAAATCATAGGGCAAGGGGTTAAAATACTCGAGGCTCGATCATATTTAACCCTTTGCACTCGAGAGGTGACTCTCAGTCACCACATGATTCGATACAGCAAAACTATGAAGTTGAATATTTAATATTTCAAATTAAAGTTTGCATTGCTACGTGAAATATTTAAATAAAACACCTCTGTTGCTTAATTTATCTATGAATTATCGTTAAATTAGTTTCAAACAATATGACCTGTATCTCGTCAGAAAATGTTGAATATTTCCATTGAGGAATTAGAAATATTTTCACATATTCTGATGAGATAAGCTATTTTGTTTCAACATTTCTCAAATTCATGCATTATACGTACTATAATGTTAAATATCTATAAATTTTATAGTTTCACTATATTAAATCAAGTGGCGAGAGTCACCTCTCGAGTGCAAAGGGTTAATATTTACATTATAGCACACATTGTGAACAAAAACCGATTGGTCACAAGTAGGTTAGCCTCACAAGTGATCCTTGTACCAGTTGTTTCGTAATGTACGTACGGAATTTCGTGCAATGAAGAAAAATTTGATCCAAGCGATAGATAGGGACAAGAATCTCAAAGACCGCGTGGAATTTGGAAATTGTGTAACACCTTTGAAAGTTGTGAATCGTATCTGATCGCGCGCGAGCGAACGCGAAACTAAACATTTCTCGGACAGTAACTTGACGGCTGCCTAGCTTTCGTCACCGCCCGACAGGAAGGCAAAACGATGGACACTCGAGGGTGTCATAAATCAACCCTTTGCTCTCGGAAGTTTTTCACTAGATATATCTAACATTTTTTGACGAGACAGACGATATTCTCTGAAACCAACATGAACAGAAATCACAAGTACATCGAGAAACAAAGCTATTTTATTCCAATATTTCACGTACCGAGGCATTATACAAAGTTCAACTTCAACTTCAACTTCAATTTTGAAGTCACATATCAGTATATTGGCATCTTGTCGATTTATTTCATTTTGCACTCGAAGTGATGAATAAAATTCAGTAATCAGTTAACATAACTTGAAAGTTACAAAATATATTCGTTTGATGAAATTATTGAAACTGTTGAATACATTGTTAATTCGTATTGGTATGTGGATATTTATTAATTTTGTACTACACAGATTTTGTTATAATCATGAACAACAAAAAAGTGACGGAACGAATATTTAGCTAACTTGCACTGTAGCATTTGTTCATCAAATGTTATTCGTTGAAATTTAAACATCAAATTTTCCGTTACATCTGTCGCCATATTTGCTTTAATGAAATTTCTGACGTTACAGGAACAAATGTGTCGTCTATAATATTTGTACATAACAACGTTTGTTACTTCATCCACGGAATAACAGACGTGATAGCCTATTGACCGATTTTCATTTTCCTATATCGCACTAAAAGTAACAACTGCAATATTTGTGCATACCTACTTATGTACTCGAGGATTGAGCAACAAGAGGGAGGGGAGAAATTGTTTCGGATGGTCGAGCGTTCCCGTTGAAATCTAGTCCTTGAAAAAATTAGCATGGACGACTGAACGCGTAACGAAGCATAAACTAATGAATGTCACTAATGGAACCTAATCTTCATCGAACTAAATACAAGTATATCTTTTTATAAAAGTTGTTTCCAATACTAATTAACTTCAGTTATAAATGGTTCGACACGACATTCGAGTTTTCCACTCAAATGTTCTAACGACACTAACATGTTTTAACTAACGCGGTCTGTTCACCGATTGCGTCAGACTTTCGATAATTTTTAACAAGTTTCGTCGCAACAGTGGGAAAAGTGGCGTCACGAAACACGTACGAAACTTTGAAGTGGGTAATACAGTTTCACGAAGGAATTCACCGCTTCCGTCTCGTGTCGTTCAACTTGATGAACAATTTACTTAAATTACGTAGTCCGTAAGCCCGTCTCGCGACGTTTGACGACTCGTAACGGCGTTCCCCAGTGTTTGGCAAGAGAGGTTCGTTCCAGCGAAAACTCGCCACGGTGATCTCCAACGATCGAATCTGAATTTGTAAATATTTCCGATAACGTTTACGGTGATTCGCGTTCGCCCGGCACTCGATGATGATATCGGGGCCGGAAAGCATCAACAATTTCATTCAATATTCCGTGGGGTTCCAGCTGCCGTTAGTTTACACGCGATGTTTACTCGAGTAGCGCGAGGGAAAACCGAAGAATAGAGCTATTTAAACGAGAACTCCACGTGGACACGATATCATCGGTCTTGATAATCCAACGGATCGCTTGTTTACAAGCAATTTCCTGCAACGCCGTGCGATTTAAAATTAAATACCTGCGATAATTAACTGACTGGGAAAACTATCGACGGCGTCGGAACGAGACCGTAACCTTCAACTTGAATTTAATTTTAACATTTCCCAAGAGAGAACGTTTACCAACAGCGCGTTCAAACTAACACGTTCACTACCAGCGTTTATTTTGGCGAGGACCTCCTTAATTGTAATATTTTATTCAATCCGGTAAATCATCTAAACAAAATATTGAAGAAATGAAAATGGAACGAGTCAATGAGTGCCCAAACATAATGTAGCTTATAACTTTAACACTAGAATTATCGTACCAGTCAAAATGCTTCAATCTTTTTAATTTGTAATTATTGATATCTTAAAAGCATTGGATATTCGAAACGATCTTGAAAATAAATAGTATTATCTCAATACTATAATGAATGTCTGAAGAAACTGAAAATGATTTGTTACAATTTTTATAGGGATTACATATTAATTGTATTAAATGCTCGGTAGTTCTAGTGTTAAATAACAATATTTATAGGAATAATTTAATTTTCTTTATGTAAAATACAACACTGCTGTCAAATATGTGACGTTGATAGCGACCATGTTAACGAAAATTCCAGACGACTTTTGGGAAAATATACCGATCGATCGATATATACATCGACCGTTTAGGTACAAATGAAAATACTGCATGACAGTAAACACGATACGAAAAATTATATAATTTTCGACGAAAAGAAATGTACATATTAACCCCCATAGACCCATGTGAATTTGAAATCACGCGTCAATATACTAGGTTAAATTGTTTAAATTTCTTACCGCAAAATAATAAATGAAATTAACTAATGAATTAACTTTTATACACGCGGACTTAAACGTTCAACGTCATCCTAGTTTCAAACTTACAAGATACATTCGTTTTAATAAAATCATTAAAACTATCGAATACATTGTTAATTTATATTCATACGTTAATATTCATTAATGTCGTACTATATACATTTTCTCATAGTCACCAACGAGAATTCGTCCCATAGGTGGTTAATTTTCGTTTCATCACGTTTCAAGCAACGTGATCATTCGTAGCCATGTCAATATCCCTAGGGCGGACTACAAAGTCGTGCGCCGCCCGCCGCGATCGAAAACACGAGGTTCCTCGAACTGAAATATCGTTTCCGGTATGTCCTGTCTCGAGCCACGAATATACACATATTTTCGACGGACGCCGGGTATTTTTGGCCGGGCTCCAACGACTGCCTAAACGATAGGAAGAATAAGGGCCGCCCGATGATGTTGATTCCCTCCGCCAACCGCGACACACCGAAAATACACCATTGGAGACCCCGCGCGTAACGACTTACCGCGAACGCGAACCATGGAGGAGCACACGCCTCTCTAATCCCGCTGTGGGGCAGCCTCTTAAGCTTTTACGCCGCCTTTATTCCGTTTCATCTCACGATTCAAGCGGAAAAGGGAGCCGGGAGAGCCCGTAGGAGTCGAAGAAGCGTGTCCAATTTGGTGGGACTGACTTTCAAAGCACGTGCTCCCGCCGCTCAATTATTCGCCTCTATTCAGCCAATTATTTTGCCGGATTATTTCGAGAAGCGGCGGAGACGCGAGGAACACGGGGTACGCATGAGAAAGAAGGGAAAAAAAACAAATCGAACGATTACAGTCTCCGCGGTGTCTGCCTATCGTCCAGGACACATCGATCTCTTTCCTTCCCGCGATGGATAGCTACGGTCATGCCGGTAACTTTTCTCACGATCTATCGCACGAGGCGATGGTATTTCGAAATGGGAACGCGATACCTATTGACTCGGCGATTATGAATCAAAGCCAGCACGGAGAAACGAGACTGTACACGACGGATTGGGAAATTCGACCAGACGAAATTATATGAAAATTTCCTACAAGTGGGAAATTCCTCGATCGGGATCGGGAACCTGTTGAATTAACCTCATCGAGTCTAGTGAAATATTCCATCGATCCGTTAGGCACGCTGACCAAACTATTTGTCTAATCTAGGGTTAAACATCAGTCATAACACGTATAATCGAGATAACAAACAAATCTAATATTGAAAACCGGTATTGGACACAAACGGTTGTCGTTGAAATAATTTAACTTTATCCAAGGTTGACAAACATTACATCTCGCGTTCCGAAAGCCATGGACCGCACGCAATGAAGAAATATTGCAATTAATACTAGAACTACCAAACAGTCAAACTGACTTCTTGAAATTTTTCTGTGGAAACTCCAACAGTGCTACTATTGAGATTTCCATTGATTTACAATTCAGTTTGTTTATTGCTGAATCAATTTATATAGTAATTTCTGAGAGAGTTATCTGTTGTGTTTTTAGTAATTGTTAAAGAAGCGATCAGGAATGGATGATTTTGACCTCTGGTAGTTCCAGTGTTAATAACCACCGGTACTCTTACCTCGAACTCTGCGCAGTACACTCGAGACCAGGAAGATCCTCTGCGGTTAAGTCGCGAGCCGTTGTAAATCCATTCGAAATCGTCGGAAAAAACGGGTCGCGCCTCGCGTTTCACGGCGGCGTAAACACAACTCGGATCGGGCCACACACAGCCAGAAAACACAAGGAACCATTCGTTCGCGCCTCGTGCTTAGATAGTTTTGCGTTCGCTCATTGTTGAATGTGGCCAAGCACGCCCCCTTTGAGAGACCGGTCGACCGAGGAGCGGAGCGAAGAACAAGACAGGGAGAGACAGGGACGGAGAGAAAGCGAGAGAAAGAGAAGGAGAGGGGTATAGACTGGGTAAAAGCGAAGAAAGAGAGATGGCCGAGGAGAAAGAGAGTGGATCGGCAAGCGAGAAAAGGGACAGGACGATTCGTAGGGAATGCGAGATAAAAGGAGCGAGAGTGACCGCGGGTACGACGACACACGGGCCGAGAAGGAAAGCGCGTCGGCCGCGCACGGATTTCTTAACCACAGACGACACTTTCGGTAACACTTGATTCACTTATTCGCGCGGAGATCGATGGGATCACTCCGCGTTCAACGGGCCCCCGATCCACGGGAAAACCGACCACCGGCAGGGCCGCATCACGACGTTCACAGGCCCTAGGCACTTTCGACCCACCCCCACTCCCCACTCCTGTTGCCGTACCGTCCTGCCGATCCTATTCTTAGTTTATCCTGGTTTCGTGGGCCTTAGACTCTATGGGCCGACGTGTTCGTTAACACTAGAACTACCGTGCACTTGAACCGAGTTATCAACGTTTCTTCGTGAAAACTACAAACGTGGATTTATTCAGATATCAATTGGCATATATTTCAGTTCATTACTAAATCAACGTTAATCATTCTCCAAAGAATTCGTACCTTCGTAATCGTGACGAAACCGGTTAGGAATCGGTCGTTTCGACCCGCCTGGTAGTTCCAGCGTTAAACTAGACAGTCCCTGGTCACCGGTGACAAGCACAAGACCGATGATTGTACGTTCGTTGGAACCGGCGTCTCACGAGATTCGTCGTCCAGGGAGGATCGATAAGCGATATCGATTTCACAGGAAAATCGATCCAGTGAATATTCGTCTTACCGGGTTGGTGCACTTCGTGTACGGACGATCCAGTATCGATCGCGAATTATCGTCCGTGATCTTAACACTATTCCCCGAGTCGCGAGGAGAACCGACGTGCGAACAGAAGATCGGAAAATACACGGTGTCACAAGTGTCGACGAGACCATGCGTAAGTGTAGGAGAGGCGACTCGTCGCGGATCCACCGACTTCCCCCGAGCCTCCCTTTTTCCAGTCCAACACACAAAGCGTTGCTCCTTGGCCGCGGCCCGGCCTCTACTGAGAAACAAGTACGCCAGGGGGCAGTCACGAGCAAGCGGTTCTCTCGAAGAGCCCGGGAGCCTGAAAACCGTCTTCAGAAATCCCGCGGTGCCCGTTCGTGCACGCTTTTAGTGGGATGTATACGGGACGAGACGAATGAGCAAGCCAAGCAAGTACGATCCGCCCGCTCGCCTCGCTACTCGCCTCCGAGACGACGTTCCATTGTTTCGTTGTCTCCTGGCTCGGGAGCGTGGCACACACAACACACACATACAAACACCATGTATATAGACGCTAGAGGGAAAGAGACGCGTTCGCGGTAGCGCACGTGCACGCCCGACTAACACGTCACCGTAGCAATACGTACGAGCAGGTTAGGGAGCACTCACACGTATAAACCATGGACAGACACTCCCCGCTATAAACCGACCGACCGACCAGTCACGCACGATCTCTCGTTCGTGTATGAATGTCGTAGTCCGGTTACCACCGGACCCGAACCCATCACGAACACACAGGCTAACTTATGGTCGGCGGGTGTACGAGTGGCGAGCAAGCGAGAGAGCCGGCAAACGCGCGAGCGCCATACACTCTCGCAGATCCCCATGACCGTTCACCAACGAAAAACCCTATCAGAGGAGTACCGGTGGAAATTTATTGTACGTACTTCCCTTCTTGCCCGCTTACTCGTTTCTCCTCGACCTTGCCAGTCATTTCGGGCAATTTCACCGTCGTTGGGACGGTATTTACTATTAGCTCTGTTCGACATCGCTTGTGACCTCCGATGAGAGGCTGAAAGTGGCCTGTCCCGCGCGCGCGCGCGCGCACGCGAGCGCGAGTGTGTTCGCGGGAGAGTGAGGGAGCGAGAGAGGGAGTAGGGGGAGAGAGAATAAGGAGAAGAGATCGAGGCGGTTCGAGGAGAAAGAAAGAGACGGTGTTCAAAGAGAACTGAAGTGGGTGGGATGGAGAGGGTAAGAGCTGGGAGCTAGGTGGAAGACGGTGGAGGGGGAAGTCGATGTCGAGCAACCGAACTTGACCCTCGTCGGATCTGCATTTTCGTCGGTTTGCTTAGCCGACAGAGAATCATCGGATTTTTTTTACCCTGTCGTTTGCGAAACTTTCGTTCCCCCCGGACTTGGGGGAACGTGTGCGAACGGAGAGTGCTCTTCTGTAATTTCACGCTGGACATTTTTTGCTAATGAAGAGTTCTCGGTTGTCTTTTCGTTAGGAATATCGATAACTGTTGTGCGGTTAGCTGGGAGAAGGTTTTTGTAATATATTCCATGAAATATTGGTGGAGAATATGGTAAATTTTTCTTCTCGACTCGTTGAATGCCATGGGGGTTACCGGTGATCCACGAATGAGTCGAGTTACTATAGTTCACGCAATTAAACGATGATTATTTGAAAACATTTTTATATTTTAAGTAATGCTACATAATGCGATGATACTCAGATGAACGTGCAGTATTGAATAATGCAATTCAATTAGATGATTTAATATTTTATTTTGCCACCGGTGATGCCCATGGCGTTCAACGTGTTAATACTAAAACTACCGAGTAATTCAATTAGATTTTCTAATTTTCCTATAGAAAATCCAATATTGTGTCTGTTGAGACTTCAATCGATTTATGATTTAGTTCGCGCATTTTCAAATCAATTTCATTACTCATTTCCCTAAGAAGCATCTGTTCCTTTTCAATAGTTGCAGAAGAAGAATCTAGGAATGAGTTATTTCGACTCATTTGGTAGTTCTAATTTTAAGAAATGATTAAAGAAGCTGATTTAGTAATACCAAAATTGAAGTTAGTAATACTCCAACTGAATGAACCCATTGAAATGTTAATAAATTCACGCATATAGCTGTTAGTCTTAGCAGTAGTTCTAGTGTTAATAATTAACCCTTTGCACTCGCCAGGTGACTCTCAGTCACCACTTGATTTGATACGGTAAAATTATAAAGTTTGAGGTTTCATATTCAACTTTGTATAATGCATCACTGTGTGAAATATGAAAGTAAAATACTCTTGTCCCTTAATTTACCGATTAAATTAGTTACATTAGTCGCTACAGGCCTCGTCTATATTTTATCAAAGAATGTCGAATATCTCTAACAAAAGACTTTCGAGTGCGAAGGGTTAGAAGTTCTATTGCAGATTGAAAAACGAATCGTTTATCTACTGACGCTGATCTATACTGTGTGGAGTTGATCAACTTTAATTGTTACGTCATTAATTATGCAATACAAAGTGTAATTACGGTGCGAAAGAAATCGGACAGTAATGCGGTATATGGGAAACGTTTAGTCGGCTGCAATGGTGGAACACTGCGAAATGAAGGGAACGTTTGAAATTCCTGCCCAGAAGTTAATACTAACGCCTATACGTGTACTCTTATTTTTATTGCGGCGAAAGGAATGCCGGGAGTGCTCCGTTATGAGCTTCTAGATGCGTTGAATACACGTCAAGGAATTCGTTCTTGTTAGAACCATGAACTACATAGTTCACTTTTTACCTAGGCCACGCGCGTGTCTATCTAACCGCGCACGCTCCCGTAGATTGTGTACCATTTTACTTTTGAATAAATCATGGGACAGCTATTATTTACAGTTGGACTGCGGATGTTTATGTACATGCTTGGTTTTATGAAGGAATTTCGAAATTTTATATCCGCCAGCAATTGCTTTGATAGATGCGTCTCTATTAAATTTTATTAAACTCCGTATTTTACTGGTTCATCAACATTTTTATTGGTTACGAATGCATCAAGTTCTGGCGTCTGTTTATGACTAAATGTATCCCTGCTGGTTGTCATGATAGTGAAGTACTTCGCTGTTGATACCAAATATTATGTTCATTTACTTTTTACGACCTTCGAAGGGATATAAATCTTTTAGGTCTTACATGAAATAAAACTAGTCGAGAAAAAGGAAACTGGATTTTTCCATCGCGTGGCTGAAAATGGAATTTCTGTCGGAACAGCAAGTTGTATTCTTTGCTGCTGTAACATTGTGCTTACGACAGCTCTCCGGGTCGTGAGTTCGCTGTCACAATATAATTCGTTTGCCACCCGTCCAGAGTTGGTCACGTGTTTAGAAACATGTTTGAGAAGGGAACATGCACACGCCCGGCAGACGACCACAGAAACAGCGTTGATAAACGTAATTCGAAACGTTGCTGATAACGACGCATCGGCGTTTAGCGCCGGATGAGGGTCGAACCACAACTTAACCCCTAACTGCCGAAATGGATTTCAACAGATCTCAAACTTTTCTCCTTAACACGTTTGGTAGCAGCGTCACATATTTATCACACTCACAATCCTATATTTTACGTAAAGAAACTGAAATTAACCTTATAGATATTGATCTATCAAATTATAAGATACATCATTATATTTAACCCATTGCATTTGACAGGTGACTCTCAGTCACCACTTGATTTGATACAGCAAAACTATCAAGTGGAATATTTAGTATTCTAAATTAAACTTTGTATCACTATGAGAAATATTTAAATAAAATAGCTTCGTTGCTGAATTTATCTGTGAATTATCGCTAAATTAGTTTGAAACAATGTCGTCTGTATCTCGTCGGAGGATGTTGAATATTTCCAGTGAAGAACTTTCGGGTGCAAAGAGTTAAGAACTCAATGACTCGTTTCTTAATATTTCGTTTAGAAGATTTATTCGATTGAATAAAATGTTACAATCGAAAAGATCAGCGAAGCAAACGTGTTAACCTGTTAACTGTGGAACTTAGATTTAACCCTTTGCGAACGAATGTCGGCATTTCGGGGAGATGAAATTTCCATATTTGGAAGAGTAAGTCGCAAACAAATGATTCAATTACTCAAACAGCAAGAGATCCGTGTATAATTTCGTTTCTTTCTATTATTTAAGCAATCGATACATAATTTAACTTCATCTGCTGAGGGTTTCGTATATTTCAAAGAATCTTTGTAATTACATATATAACTGGTTGAACAGCCAACCTTCGATATATTCTTTTACAGTTAAGAATTTAAGCCAACTCAGTGAATATATTATAGATTGTATATAAATACATTAAATATAAAAATATTATCAATTAACAAAGAATATCCATAGAGTGCCTGAAATTCTAGCTCGGCAGTTAAAAGGTTAAGAACTGAAAGCACTCGCACACCGTATTCGTTTCTTCCATTAGCTCGCCTCGCCGCTTTTGAACCGCGTTCTTCTTTTGCAACTGAACACGAATGATTAATGATCCTGAAACTCACAATGCACGCAGAAAATGAACAAATCAATTAACGGATGAAACCCGCGGCGTGTTTTCAGGCCACACAATTTGTTCCGTTGTATTAGTTCAGCCGGAGATGCTTTGTTTTCAATATGGCGGACTAAACGATTAAATACAACAAATAAATGAACGTTCTAATTGAAAGTGGTAGAAAGATGTTAAATAAAATCATCGATGTATCACATTTAACCCTTTGCACTCGAAAGATTTTCACTGGAAATATCCGACATTATCCGACGAGATATAAACGACATTGTTCGAAACTAATTTAACGATAATTCACAGATAAAATTCAGCAACGAAGCTATTTTAATTAAATATTTCAGATAGTAAGTTTATTTAGAATACTGAATATTCTTCATAGTTTTGCTGTATAAAATTAAGCAGTGACTGAGAGTCACCTCTCAAGTGCAAAAGGTTAAGATTCGTTTATGAAATAAGAAAATAGGCGGTAAAAATATTTCCTTTACTCGCTGCTTTACCCAGACCTACTCATTTCGATCTTATTTATGAAAGTCATTAGGTTCAGCCGGGTTATCGATGAGCAGTAGCGTATCAAGTTATTTTCGTCTTTCAATGAAGAGATTCCTTTATGCGTTCATTCTCTTTCCGTACTGATAACGTTGAGAACCTTTGTTTATCTTCGCGTCTTGCTTTGTCAGTCTTTGCTAATTAGATCTAGAGCTGTACACCCAGCGCAATGACAGTCGAAATTTTGCGCGTAGATAAACAACTTTTTATTCGTAGATAATGGTATTACGAAAGTAGAGATGATAAGCAGAACATATAAAGGATACTTCTGCCATATGGTTTCTAATCTCGGACGAACGTATCGAGTCATCTAACAAAGTCAAACTATCCCAACGTTACACTCTCCTTAGTTTCAGTACATCGTGCGCTTCGGTTGTGCGAACAGCGGAACGGTTGTGTAGTAAGTGACAACGCTCACGGAACATTCTTACTGTGATATCGGTATATTACGCCACACGGGAATTCTGGAACAATTAACTATTGTTCTCTCGAGAAATTGGTATTTTTCTACATAATCGATTATAATTTATTAACACACCAGTAACTCATTAAACCTCATAGACTTAAACAAATTAGAATTTCTGCCAGGAGAATCTCGAGCGTTTTATTAACATAATTGAATTATTGATTACTTGGTATCACAGTTCTTACACTATTATCTAGTTACTTAAATTATTAAATGTTCTATCAATCGTCTTACGTATCTTAACTCTTTGCACTCGAGAGGCGACTCTCAGTCTCCACATAATTGGTATAGAAAAATTATAAAATTTTCTATGTAATGTCAAATTTTAGGTAATACATCGAACGCGAGAAATAAAATAGCTGTGATCCTTAATTTATAAACGTTTTCTTAGTAGTTAATTTCAAAAAATGTCTATATTGTGAAATATTGAATACTTCTAGTAGAAGATTTTCCAGTGCAAAGGGTTAATCGCTTTCAAGCAATCTTGGAGCACCGGTTACAGGTGACCACCATGGTAGCCAACGCGTTGACTTCAAATTCCACGAATATTCGAAACTTCGAACTTCACAAACAGCCACAATTCGACTTCGATCATCTTGCGCGTCGTAATTGCTTTCAAGCAATTTGTAACCGCCGGCCATCGATGGCCACCATGGTGGTCGACTTCAAATTTGATTCGCATATCGTTTACGTCGCGTGTACAAGGACACGAATAGTCTACTTTCCGATCAACATGAAAATATCATTTCGAGCAGTGTTATTCGGCATTGTTCGATCCCCAGAAAGTTTCTTCTAGCGAGATAAAAAGACGGGCAACGTGCGATGAATCGCGAATGGAACCAGTTGGCCGTGCACATGGCACCACCGAGGGAGCTGCTCACTGAACTCCGGTTACCGGTAAAAACATTAACGAGTCCTGGCCCGACTAATTGCTCGGAGCGAGTTCTCCGGGCCCTTCAGAATCAAGTCCTCGGCCATCTCCATCCCGAAATTTATCAGGTAATCGGTCCGCTTAAATCGCGGTCGTAAAGTCACATTTCGGGCTGAAAGTCGCTTGATTATAATCATTACCGACAATGTAAGCGGCTCGCTCGTGAGAGAAGATTAAGGCGCACTTACAGTAATCGTCCCGAAGAATGTGTACTTCGTACACGCTTGGACCACGGGGCCTCACTTTAGCCATTAGCCCCGCGTCCTTTACGCGAAATTGATGCACGTTTACCATATTCCATGTAGACACGATGGATTTTATATGGTCCTGCCGTTGGTCAATCGTTTATCAACAGGTGACACCGGGGACGGAATTATCGGGGCGTTTATCAGTGTCATAATTGAAAGTTCTCTGATTCCTTTTTCGAGCCGGAGCTCACCCACAAGATTAGATTAAACGCGTAATTAATATGAATTACACGTTGCGCGAGTGACATTCGCTGTCAAGCGTTCGGGCAACAATTCCACCGCTCCACCGGAACTGCCCGCGGCCGGCGATTAATTTTAATCGCGATATTCGTAATTATAAACACGAAGTTTCGAACCGAAATAATTAGGGTTTCGGAGTACGCAATTCGACCAGGATGTTATTTACGGCCGAGTAAACCGAAATTTACGGGAGGCTGTTCGCAATCACGATCGCCCGCCGCGCCGAAGGAGGCTCGCTCGGTTTTGTCTACAACCTTTGGCGTTAATAAAAATCAAATGACAATTCATTGGAAATGTCGATAGAACACTTCGTGCTTGCAATGTCGGATAGGCGAATACTCGAGCCGAATCGTTTCGCAGCGACGCGTCGGAAGGATAGAGATTCACGTTCGTTGTTTTTCAGTTGAAAGACGAGATTAAGGCGGGCCTGCAATACCTTTTCCAAACGAAGAACAGACTCACTTTGGTGATAAGTGCGTCGGGTCATGGCGCGTTGGAGGCGTGTTTGGGAAACTTACTCGAACCTGGTGATAAGATTCTAATTGTGAAATGCGGAATCTGGGGCGAACGTGCCATTGATATGGCTCAAAGGATCGGCGTCTCGGTGCGTGACGTACTTTCGTAAAAATGGATAAAGTTTGCTAATTATCGTTGCGACACAGGAATTTATTGTTTTCCCTTTTAATCGCGAAATGTGCAGGTTGCGTTGATCGAAACCGACCACGACAAAGCGGTTACGTTGGAACAATTGGAATCTGCCTTGAAGCTGCATAGACCGCAAGCCGTTTTTATGGTGCACGCGGAATCCTCCACTGGTTTGAAGCAGCCGTTGGAAGGTTTTGGAGACCTCGTTCACAAGTATAATTCATTCGAAATTATTCGAATTGTATAAGTTAAAGATAAGAGCTTCATTAAGAGCTTCAGGAATTTAGACAAATGGAACTCCGTGAAATTTTCATAGAACTTGTACGGTACAACGGAAATTTGTCAAAGACAGCGAAACCAGAAATTTATAAAGGAACGGGCTGAAAGCATGAAAGCGACGAGCAGATATGGCGTTGAGAATCACTGGCGGTACCTTATACCCCGCCTAACTATTAAATAAAATCTGTGTGGCAGCTTTCTTTGATGGTTTCCGTGCAAAAAGGCTCTGATCCGTCGTATCGTGTAATTAAATTTCATCTCGGACCTCTGCTTTTCGAGATAAACTGAAGAATGCCCGCGAAAGTTTTTGTGTATCAAGTGTCTTGCCCACTGCCCTTAACTATTACTGAAACTCATTTAACACTAAAAGTACCGAACGTTCGTGAATTATTCTTTTACAATTATTGAAAACACAGCAGATGATTCTTTGCGAAATTACCGAAGAAAATGTCTTGGTAACATGTAAATTGAATCATAAGTCAATTGAAATCTCAATAGCTGTAGTCTTAGAGTCCCCATAGAAAAATTTTAAAACTTCAATTCGACTGCTCTAAAAAGCTAGAAAGTTCTAGTGTTAAAAATTGGAAAATCGGAAAATATGAAAGTAGAAAAATGAAAAATTTCTGAATTTCGATTTCCATTCTCCGTTGCTCATCTTTATCGCGGATGTTGCAACGTTGCGCGCAACGATGTTATAACTGTCAAGTTCATCGCACGAAAATCTTTTCAGATACGATGCTCTCCTGATTGTGGACGTGGTTGCGTCACTGGGCGGCGAACCGTTCTTTATGGATTCCTGGGGCGTGGATGCAGCGTACACCGCCAGTCAGAAGGTCCTCGGTGCCCCCGCAGGACTCTCCCCCATTTCGCTCAGTCCACGAGCAGAGTACGTAATCGCCGGCACCCGGTTTCTTTTCCCAGCTCCTTCTTTCAACCGCGACTGGCCCGGCCAAATGGAAACAGCCTGAGAATCGGGACCCGCGGTGTTCTCCACACGGAATATCAATCGAATCCGTGAGGTCATGCCGGTCTTTGCTTGGCCGTTCGCCGCTGAATCATAACTTGAATGGGGCCTGGTGAATTCTTATTCGATGACACTTGGGCCTTTCTTCGAATCAAGTGTACCGCCATAAAGAAGCCCGATATAGAGAAGAGTGTATACACACCTATTAAACTGTCCGGTTTCAACAGACAGAGTGCCCGCCGGCGACAATTTGTCAATACTGAATATGCACTGGCTAGTACGTTAACACGTCGACTGTCACGGTGGTCACCGGTCACCGGAGCATACGAACCACTTGAAAACAATGTTAACCCCTTTGCCTATGACTTCTTTCTCAACTCTGATCGACACGGCTACTTTGTCATTAAGAATTTATTGGGAAAAGAGAAAAATTCTAAGCATATATTATGCCCGTATTTCCTTTTAAGTATAGTAGTTGATTACAGAGGAATAATATTTACTCTGAATTCGAATTAACTAAGTAATGTATACATTTGTTGAATCATGTTGAAAATCTTCACCACGAGTCTCTAAATATTCTACTTCATAGTTTTGCTGTATCAAATCGAGTAGTGACTGAGAGTCACCTCTCGAGCGCAAAGGGTTAATAGCGTGAATAACTAGATGACAATCTGACTAATAAATAACTGATGCCCTTTATCTTTGCTACAAAATAAGCGATACACAAAACTCTGAAGGTTTTCGTGGCAGTCAACGTGTTAACGGGCCGATGTCGTGATAGCTAGCTATATGGTCGCTCTAGATTGGGCCCACTTTTTGTGTCTATCATCGGCCACGTATTATTACGTATTTCCCGTTATTACTACTATCTACGTCTAGGCGCAGCCTAGTCGTTACCAAACGGCAAATGTTTCCGGTAACTTCCATCGGCTTCGATAGTTATTAGACGATGTACCCTGTGTTCATTTGAACATTTTCATTGATATGTTTCTTTTTAGGGTAAGTCAGGGTATCCCAGTGTTTCCCAACGTGGGGTCAATTCGATTTTTAACACGTTCAGTGCCACGTGTACCACATGTTAATTTTTGTAACAAAATATTTTTAAGGGACACGTGGTCAAGAATAGCTGTACACGTTACAAAGCACCGAAAACAAAAAAACTATATCAAAATACATAAAATTAAAAAAAAGCTTGAATATAACTTAATATTTTATTTAAAATATCAGTACGGTTCATAAGCGAAATATGACCGAAATTTCCGTGGCACGGAACGTGTTAAAGGGGGCAATTTGAAATTTGAAATATCGCTTCATATACTTCACAATATTTACGCTCGTAAACAAAATGGGAAAAACGTTCTAATGAATATTATAAAAATATTCTAATATAATATTGAAAATTATATATGCATATCATACAAATCATAAGAATTTTAGAAAGACTTAAGTGGGGCATGGCACGAAAAAGTTTGGGAATCACTGGGGATTTTGTAAACTCTGATCGATCTAACTACTTCGTTTAACACTAGAACTACCGAACAGTCAAATTGACATTTTCAAATTTGTCTAAAGGGACTTTAAGAACGCAGCTATTGACATTTCGATTGACCTATGATTCAATTCACGTATTACTACATCGATTTCTTTAGCAATTTTGCAAAGAAGCATGTTATCTTTCTAATCATTGGGAAAGGAGAATTTAGGAATGGCTCAATTCGACCCATTCGGTAGTTCTAGTGTTAATAATTTATCGAACAAGAGAAAATTTCAGTCTTTTTCTATGTCAAAGTGTGCTTAAGGTACAATCATTGATAACAGAGGAATAATATGTAATTTGTATTCAAACGAATTAAATAATATTTATGTTTGCTCAATGCTACTTGGGATCTTCACGGGTTTAACACGATATTCTAGAGCAAGGGTTTAATCTGCGATTATTTTTTATATTGTTTAGAGAGAAGCTGTTCCGGAGGAAGACAAAGCCGTTTTCTTTCTATTGGGACCTGACCATTCTCGGTGTGTACTGGAAATGCTTCGGGAACAAGGATGGAGTGTACCATCACACGGCAAGCGCTACGCTTCTGTACGGTTTACGTGAGGCCCTAGCAGAAATCGCTGAAGAAGGTCTGCCGAACACTTGGGCCAGACACGCGGCCGCAGCTGTTAGGTTAAGGAAGGGTCTTGAGTTACGGGGCCTTCAATGTTACGTGAAAAATCCACGGTATCAATTATCCACCGTGATCTCTATAGAGCTGCCACCTGGCGTCAGCGACGAGATCATTGTGCAACGAGCCATGCAAAGGTAAGACACCTCCAATTAGGTTTTCTGGCCTGGAACATCAAAAACGAGCTATCCATTTACACTTTTTCAACAAATTCTCAATAATCACCACTTTACACTTTAAGTGTTTATTTATTCAGTTTGTTAACGAAATATGCATGGTGTTCCTAAAATTTTATCTGATGGAAATATTATAGTTAGTCCTAAGAAATTTTGAAATGGTACTTTTCTGTATATTTGTATGTGTTGTTATATTGATTATACTTTTATTTTTTATTTTATATTTAATATTAATTATAATAGATTGTTTGAACTAATATATTGTTCTTTTAGTTACAAAGTTGAAATCAGCAAAGGCTTGGGACCAACTGTAGGGAAGATCTTGCGAATTGGTTTGTTAGGAATCAACGCAAGACCCGAAAAAGTGGATTTAGTTTTACGTGCCCTCGACGAGGGACTGAAACATGTTACACCATCGAAAATATAGAAATGGCATCTGTATGGTGTCGTTGCCAGTGAAGAATCGTGGGTTAGTCTTTCTTGTTTTTGTTAGGGGATAATGAATTTGTAGTACCTCGCAACTGGAGTGTATTAAAGAGTCGACGTACTGGAAAATTGAAATACATGGGGATACTTTTATTGTCAATTTATTTTTTAAGGTTATAACGGTAACCATAACTTTCTCGTATTGTTAAACGTTATCAATGTACGAAGTGACAGCTATAGTTACAAAATCTCGAGAAATACTGGTGTTACTTGTCAATATTCTCTTGTTATTGTTATACATCTATTTATTTCGTGTATACACTTGGAACTAAAACTACATTCTCCAACGTCGCACGGGTTGCGGTGCAGCGGGCGCTTATCGAACTGCATTAACGCACAGTGAAATAAAACAGCTTCACTATAATTCAGTGAAATAATAATTCTTATAAGAGGGAAATCCTTACCGCAGGAAATGAAATTTACGCTCAATCATGTTCTTTAATGAACCTATAAACTCTTGAAAATAAATAGATAATTATCCACTAAATATTTTTCATTTTATAATCTACCCAGTGGATCTCGCTGTTTATCCAGACAATAATTGAGTATGGCGTGGCCGGAAAAACTCATAAAACACAATAAGGCCAAATCATGTGTATCTGTTTATTAATGGAAATACTGAAATCGGCATACAATTATCTCTAATATAATTATCTGTTTACGTTCAATTATACGATTTTATTACATTAATTAGCAATATCAACAATTAATTATTTTCTCTCTCTCCCTTTTGTTCCTTCATTCTTACAGTCCTTTTTATTTTTTTTTCTCAATCTCTCCCTCTCTCTCATTCTGTCTCTCTTTCTCTCTCTGTCTCTCTCACTCACTCCTCCTCTCCCCTTTCCCTTACTTCCTCTCCCTTTTGATCCTGCACTTTTTCTCAATCTCTCCGTTTCTGTCTTCACAAGCATGCATACATATTTCACTGTACGTGTAATGCAGTTACAGCAAGCTGATCAAAATTAACGACGGTACTAGCGAATTAATAACGATTAATCATGATTCAATTGACAATCGTTTTGGCACGGTACGGAACGGTCTGGGTCTCCGTTCGAATCCGTTCCCCTCGGATCTATAAAACAAAAAGATTGATCCACCAAGTATCTCGTGACGCGTGGATACAGAGAGAAAATGAAAATAAAAACCGCGCGCGATGCGAGTCGGTCACCGCGTAGAGAAGAGAATACAATTTTTTGGTCTCCGTAACAGTGCTTCGCACTCGCGAGTACAGGGCGTCTCGGAACGAGTAGCAAAATAAATCTGTCTATTAATCTCTACCTTTACAAGTAACTCGACGATTGTCGCGCGATCATCTCTCGGATCTCTTGCTTTCGCTGAACAAAACACCCTGCCTGTCGAAACACCCTGTACAAATGCAGATTAGATCAATCGTGGCAAGTTGAATACTGGTCTCGTCGACGTTCGCGCAGAAGTCGCGTCGATGATTCGAATTTCTTATGGGACTATCCATGCTTCGCCGACGCGTAATCGATTGCAGACGAATCGACGATAAATTTACACGCAATTTACAATCGACATCGAATATCCGTTCGCACGAGATACATTTGTTCGTTCGATTTTGAAATGAGCATTTCCGTTTGTCCTTTCCTTTTTAGCTAGGGAAATAGTATTCTCGAGTTTCGGTGAATAAATCGACTAAAGAAGCGACAGTTCGAATTATTCCATTGAAATCTGTGCTTATCTCCGATACGAACGTGCTCTACAATTAATTCGCAAACCCGAACAAGATTACCAAGGCACGATCGATCAGTACGGTAACGTTGCCGCAAACGCGACCGCCATTTTGTCCACGACCCGGACAACCTCCGGTCCCACCGTCCGGCGAATCACATTCGACAATCGTTATTTCAATACTTGCACCGTTTCGAGTGGCGCGCGAGCACGCGCGCGTGAATCAGCGCGACGTT